TTTATAAATAGGAGCAGTCTTTTGAAAAATTTTTTTGCTTGAAGAATTGGAAGATAATTGATGTGCAATTGAGCTTGGTAATACTATGTTTTAAAATGCTTGGAGAATGGTAGGGATTAGCATAGATATAATTTAACGTACTATCAGGTTTATGGTAAGGTTTAAAAGTTTTGTTATTAAGATTAAATGTAACATCAAGGTAATTGACAATTTTTATATTAGATTGAATGGAAATACTGAGGTTGTTTTGTTTAAATATTTGAGTAAAATGCTTCTTCATTTTTCCATTTTTGGACTGATTGGTCCAAAAATGGAAAAAATTGACAGAAGCACAAACTGTAGAAGAGTCAAAGCAGGAAATTACTTTAGATACAGAAGCTGGAGTGATACGAATGTCAGGCTTTAACCTTGATTACAGAATAACCTGTTTGTCAGCTAAATCAGGTAGAATGCGACTAGTAGAATCAAGAGATGATATTGATGTGAAGTTTAATTTTAAGCAAACAGGTGTGGTGACAAAATTTTAGGTAAGGTGACAAAATTTGAACTACACCAAAGAGGTAGAATAGCAGATTTGCCATTAGATACTGTTAAATATTCTTCAGAAGTGACAAGAGCTTAATTTTTGAGATAAAATACAAGATTTCTTGACTTAAAAATTGCGGGCTTTGGCGTTGGACAATATCTTTTTACAATAGTTTCTAGCAATAGTAAACAGACGTCTGTTTTCTGGAAAATTGTTTCTTGAGTTAGAGATTGAAAAAGGCAAAAGTTCCTAGCCTTAACTCCTGCAGGGTCACTGACACTAGGGCCAAGCTGTTTTGTGTGTCAGTGTGATTAAAATTAAACATTAAAATCACCAACAACAATATTGGCTGAAGGATAAAGATTGAGAGTACTTGGTCTATTTGATCAGAAATAACATTGAAAAGAGTGCAGACTTGAGATAAAGGAGAGCAATATAGAACAAAGAGAAAGCTGATTGAGTGAAGTGGTGCTAAACGAAAGCACATAAAAGAATAGCCTGTATTCAAACCTAGTTTCTTGACAAATGGGTGAATTCTCACGAATGTATATGCCTAGGCTAAGTATGTGACTAATAGAGTCTTTAGGTCAAGCATTTGAGTATTGGAGTCTTTACGAATTAAAAAAAGACAACCATCAACCCTAAGATCACAAGATGAGATAGCTGAACCCAAATTAGTCTCACAAAGAGCATGTAGGTCTGTTGAACTTTGCGAGAGATATGACTCAACAGAAGAAAAGTTACTTCGAAGACCACGAAAATTAGTAAATGTTAGATTTAAAGAACTTAGTCATGATGATTGCTTTTTGTGTTTTATAGTTTATGTTTTTGTGTTTTATAGATACGTTTGTCATTTTTTAAATTAGTTAAAGGACTTGACTCAAAGCACAGGCAGTTCTCATTACACTATCTATCCAAGCAATTGCCTCATTACTGTTAATAAACCCTAAGCCGTAACAAAAGGCTTCAAATGCGTTCTCGACAAAGGGACACCATCATTATGGTGTCCCTTTATTGTTGCATATGTTGCATATATGCAACAAGGTACTGTTTGTACTCTGTATACTGTTTGATATTTTACAGCTGTTGATGTATTCAGCTTCTTTAAGAGCTACCACAGAGTTTAGGAAACTTGACTTCCAGCCGGCCTCAGAACCATTAAAATGAGTTTTAGAGCTGTACCCTCATTTAGAGATAATAGAGTGGGTTGCCTAGTCATAAAAACAGACACACAAACAAAACCCATGCAATGAGTGAAGAAAATCCAGCATTCAACATCCTAAATTGGAAACATCACATAATTACATAAATACATCTACCTAATAGATGAAAAAGGGTGCGAAACTGGTCAACTGATAGAATCTTGTTACCTCAATGTAACTGTTAAAGCTCATAAGTCTTTGCCTGAGAGGCCTTCTACAAAAAAGTAGCCGGGTGCATTTAACATCCGCCCGAAATGAGTTATTCAATTTAACCTGAACTAATTAGCCATTCTTTCTCTTCTTTTAAATGTTTTTATAAATTTCAGAAGTAATATAGTTTAGTAATAAAGTTTCATAGGATTTAGAGACTCTTGATCCAAACTGCCTGGCACACCTTAATTAATTTTGTGGAGAATTCTCGAATTTTTGTGCTATAAGTTTTACTATTTTTTTACTTTGGCTTTGGCTGGCAAATTAAATCTAAACAAAACTCAATTACATCAAGAATAAGCTCAGATTGCATGTAGCGGTTAATTAATAGAGGATGGACAACATTTGAATAATTCTTAGCCGATTGAAGTTTTGTGCTTGAAGAATCTAGCATAGCTTTTGCATAAAGAATTAAATTTTCTTGATTGGCCAGAGTTTGTAAGGTTGTCAGACTCGAAATCACACCAGCAACATTGGTGTTTGCTGGAGTGAGACTGGATACCACAAAATATTTGCTACTTTCAGTGGTGGGTTTTAATGAGGGGGGGGGGAGAAGGGCATGGGGTAGTAGCCACCTCCTTGGGATTTTTTTTCACAAATATTTTTTTGTAAATTGACTATTATACAGAATTGGACAATTATACTGACGAATGAAATTGACTATTATACGTAATTATATGTATATGAACTTGATTATTACACTAAAATACAAAAAATTAAAAATAAAAATTATTTATTATTGAAAATATGCGGACCTTTCTTTTTTTTTTTTAGACCTTTTTAGCCCCCTCCTTGGCGAGTAACAAAACCTGCCCCTGGCTACGTTCATGTCACATGATATTATGTAAGACATATCTTTAATTTATATGAGGTTTAATATTGTCCTGAGACTTTCATATGCTTCAAGAATACCTTCTGCTGCAGCAACAATCAGCTGTTTTTTTAGCCCACCATCCTGGATAGAAGAACTTGATTGGAAGCATGATAATCTTTGAGTATAACTTTGCTTGAAATATATGTTAATTACGCTGAGGTTAATTTTCAAGAATGAAGCACTTCCGTCAATTCCAAGTTTAACTAAATGATGTAAGTCCTCATACTCAGAGAATATTGTTAATATTCAAGTTCTTGCTGTGAAAAACTTTTCAAACTTGGTTTTTCAATGAGAGTTAGCAGATTTTCATGAAAAAATCTGCTAATATTTTCCAGATGTTGTCAAGTTTTTGCTTCTTGTTTGCTTCTACAGCTCTTTTTTCCATTGAGTTGTTTAGAGCTGATGCAAGCCTTTTCACACCAACATTGGAAAGATTCATACTGTTTTATTTTTTATTTTTCCGCCTTCTAACTATAGTATAAAAGTGAGGATATCCTTTCGAAAGTACTGACAAACGATTACTACATCTCTTTTCAACTGGCTGGGATGATGAAGGTTTGGGACTGAAAGTCCAATACGGTCAGTTTCAGAGTAGACTTTTGTTTTTTGATTTAATATATCAAGCTTAATCTGTGGTAGATTTTCTTAGACCTTTGATTTGGCCACCCCTACAAATTATACACTGGCAAGCACCAGAATACCTTGCAGATGGCTTAATGGTAATCTAATTGAAATTGTACAAGTCTGGTATCTGTCTAATAATACTAACAGTATCAAGATGTTGTAGTTTGCAATTCATCTAGAAAGATGAATTGCAAGTTGGAATTTTTTTATCATTGAAATTAATATTAAAAAAAAAATCTTGATTTTTTTAATCAAAAAATCAGTTATTATGCGATGACTTTTCTTTAAACACAAAAAGCAAACAGATTTTCTGCAATCACCATGATTTTTTGCTGAATTAGGCATTTATTGATAAAGATAACTTAATTTTTAACAGAAATGCCAATTTATTTGTTTACGTTATTTCAGTGGCAAAAATTTGGTGCCAACATGTTTCAATTTTATTGTCTTTAAATTTGGACTTTTATTAAAGAAGGAAAAAAAAGTTAAACAATAGGTTAATACAATGTTCTTCAAAGGTATTTGCATTATTTAAGACAAAACAAAAGGTGTTTTTTAGTGATTTTAAGCAGTGAAAACGCATTTTGAAAAATAAGTTTCTTAGTGTAAATCAGACAAAAACGTTAAATTTTCCCCTTCGGACGTAAATAAAAGATTTTAATTTTTGTTTTAAAGTGATCACCATAGTAACCTATAGAACCTACAATGGATTTTTTGGGTCATTTCCAAAGAGGTTAGGACCCATTTTTGAACAACTGTAGGTTAAGACTTGATAAAAATGTAGAAGAACTCAGTATTATTATATTTTTTCCTTACACTTTCTAAAAAAACCAAGTCAAATGTTAAAAATTAATTATTTTAACGTAATATTCTATTATTAGATTATTACGTTAAAATAAATAAGTAGGGCACGTTTTCAGAGTCCTTCATATTTTTTGAACCTGCGTGTCCTTTAGAATATGATTCACTGTTGTAATAAATTTTAATCAATTTAATCTATTTTAGGTCTAATATTAATTAAAAAATAGTAGATAAAATATAAGTTAAAAAATAGTTGATATAATATAAATTAAAAAATAGTTGATAAAATATAAATTAAAAAGTAGTAGATAAAATATAAATTAAAAAATAGTAGATAAAATATAAATTAAGAAATAGTAGATAAAATATAAATTAAGAAATAGTAGATAAAATATAAATTAAAAAATAGTAGATAAAATATAAATTAAAAAATAGTAGATAAAATATAAATTAAGAAATAGTAGATAAAATAAAATAAATCTTAATCTAACTCAGTATTTAAAACAACAGAGTATTGAAACTTTTGTCATTATTACTCTCAAATATTCGGATTAAGACATTTTAAAGGAATCCTTTATAAAACAATATTAAAGAAATTTTATTTATTGAATTTTTATTTATGTTTGTATTTATTATATATAAATATAAGTTTGCTGATTTTAAATGATATAGCTTAAATTTTTTCTAGTTTTAAGGTTTTCAAATTTTCCTCTTTTCGTTTTTTAACTGATTAATTAAATGCGTTTTGATTTTTTTTTTTTAGCTAAATACGTATCACCTTGCTTAAAGAACCTTACAAATGAATCAAAGCTATAAATTCTTTGATATGATCTTCTGTTGCTTTTTATTTTTTATATTGTTATCAATGATATACTTGAATATAAAATAACTAACAATTTTTTTGAAACGTAATTGTAAAATGTTTTAGTTTAAAATTTATATTATGGTTATCATTATTATATTATTATTATTATTTTATTGTTATTGTTATTATTATTAGTTGTTTTTAATTACAAACTCTTTTCAAATATATAAAAAAGAGAAAAATTACAAATAAAAGAAAAGGAAGAATAAGATCACCGAAAACCGCTGAAATAATCTGAGTTTCATATTGAAACCGCTGAAATATTCTGAGTTTCATATTGAAACCGCTGAAATATTCTGAGTTTCATATTGAAACCGCTGAAATATTCTGAGTTTCATATTGAAACCGCTGAAATATTCTGAGTTTCATATTGAAACCGCTGAAATATTCTGGGTTTTATATTGAAACCGCTGAAATATTCTGAGTTTCATATTGAAACTGCTGAAATATTCTGGGTTTCATGTTGAAACTTTGAAATATTCTGGGTTTCATAATGAAAATGCTGAAATATTCTGATTTCATAATGAAACCGCTGAAGTATTCTGATTTTCATATTGAAACCGCTGAAATATCCTGAGTTTCATATGGAAACCGCTGAAATATTCTGAGTTTCATATTGAAACCGCTGAAATATTCTGAGTTTCATATTGAAACCGCTGAAATATTCTGAGTTTCATATTGAAACCGCTGAAATATTCTGAGTTTCATATTGAAACCGCTGAAATATTCTGAGTTTCATATTGAAACCGCTGAAATATATTCTGAGTTTCATATTGAAACCGCTGAAATATTCTGAGTTTCATATTGAAACCGCTGAAATATTCTGAGTTTCATATTGAAACCGCTGAAATATTCTGAGTTTCATATTGAAACCGCTGAAATATTCTGAGTTTAATATTGAAACCGCTGAAATATTCTGAGTTTCATATTGAAACCGCTGAAATATATTCTGAGTTTCATATTGAAACCGCTGAAATATTCTGAATTTCATATTGAAACCACTGAAATATTCTGAGTTTCATATTGAAACCGCTGAAATATTCTGAGTTTCATATTGAAACCGCTGAAATATTCTGAGTTTCATATTGAAACTTTGAAATATTCTGGGTTTTATATTGAAACCGCTGAAATATTCTGAGTTTCATATTGAAACTGCTGAAATATTCTGGGTTTCATGTTGAAACTTTGAAATATTCTGGGTTTCATAATGAAAATGCTGAAATATTCTGATTTCATAATGAAACCGCTGAAGTATTCTGATTTTCATATTGAAACCGCTGAAATATTCTGAGTTTCATATTGAAACCGCTGAAATATTCTGAGTTTCATATTGAAACCGCTGAAATATTCTGAGTTTCATATTGAAACCGCTGAAATATATTCTGAGTTTCATATTGAAACCGCTGAAATATTCTGAGTTTCATATTGAAACCGCTGAAATATTCTGAGTTTCATATTGAAACCGCTGAAATATTCTGAGTTTCATATTGAAACCGCTGAAATATTCTGAGTTTCATATTGAAACCGCTGAAATATATTCTGAGTTTCATATTGAAACCGCTGAAATATTCTGAGTTTCATATTGAAACCGCTGAAATATTCTGAGTTTGATATTGAAACCGCTGAAATATTCTGAGTTTCATATTGAAACCGCTGAAATATTCTGAGTTTGATATTGAAACCGCTGAAATATTCTGAGTTTCATATTGAAACCGCTGAAATATATTCTGAGTTGCATATTGAAACAGCTGAAATATTCTGAGTTTCATATTGAAACCACTGAAATATTCTGAGTTTCATATTGAAACCGCTGAAATATTCTGAGTTTCATATTGAAACCGCTGAAATATTCTGAGTTTCATATTGAAACCGCTGAAATATTCTGAGTTTCATATTGAAACCGCTGAAATATTCTGAGTTTCATATTGAAACCGCTGAAATATATTCTGAGTTTCATATTGAAACCGCTGAAATATTCTGAGTTTCATATTGAAACCGCTGAAATATTCTGAGTTTCATATTGAAACCGCTGAAATATTCTGAGTTTCATATTGAAACCGCTGAAATATTCTGAGTTTAATATTGAAACCGCTGAAATATTCTGAGTTTCATATTGAAACCGCTGAAATATATTCTGAGTTTCATATTGAAACCGCTGAAATATTCTGAATTTCATATTGAAACCACTGAAATATTCTGAATTTCATATTGAAACCGCTGAAATATTCTGAGTTTCATATTGAAACCGCTGAAATATTCTGAGTTTCATATTGAAACTTTGAAATATTCTGGGTTTTATATTGAAACCGCTGAAATATTCTGAGTTTCATATTGAAACTGCTGAAATATTCTGGGTTTCATGTTGAAACTTTGAAATATTCTGGGTTTCATAATGAAAATGCTGAAATATTCTGATTTCATAATGAAACCGCTGAAGTATTCTGATTTTCATATTGAAACCGCTGAAATATCCTGAGTTTCATATGGAAACCGCTGAAATATTCTGAGTTTCATATTGAAACCGCTGAAATATTCTGAGTTTCATATTGAAACCGCTGAAATATTCTGAGTTTCATATTGAAACCGCTGAAATATTCTGAGTTTCATATTGAAACCGCTGAAATATTCTGAGTTTCATATTGAAACCGCTGAAATATATTCTGAGTTTCATATTGAAACCGCTGAAATATTCTGAGTTTCATATTGAAACCGCTGAAATATTCTGAGTTTCATATTGAAACCGCTGAAATATTCTGAGTTTCATATTGAAACCGCTGAAATATATTCTGAGTTTCATATTGAAACCGCTGAAATATTCTGAGTTTCATATTGAAACCGCTGAAATATTCTGAGTTTCATATTGAAACCGCTGAAATATATTCTGAGTTGCATATTGAAACAGCTGAAATATTCTGAGTTTTATATTGAAACCACTGAAATATTCTGAGTTTCATATTGAAACCGCTGAAATATTCTGAGTTTCATATTGAAACCGCTGAAATATTCTGAGTTTCATATTGAAACCGCTGAAATATTCTGAGTTTCATATTGAATTCGCTGAAATATTCTGAGTTTCATATTGAATCCGCTGAATATTCTGGGTTTCATATTGAAACCGCTGAAATATTCTGGATTTCATATTGAAACTTTGAGTTATTCTATACCATCTAACTACAGACCTATTTCTATTCTTTTTTGCTTTTCAAAATTGCTTGAGCGTATTATGTATAACAGACTGTATAGTTATCTTGAAAAACATAATATCTTATTTAGCAAACAGTTTGGTTTCTGGAAAGGGCATTCAACACATCATGCAGTAACTGATTTAGCCAGTCAAATACTTGATGGGTTTGCTAAAAAAAGCAACTTCCTTAGCTAATAATAAATAACAATATAGTGAACAGAGTTTCATCACTTAAAATTTTAGGAATAATATTTGATGAACATCCTAATTGGAAAAATCATATTACGCTAATTGAGAACAAAATTTCTAAAACTACAGGCATTATGTATAAAACAAAACACCTACTAAGTAAAAAATGTTTAATAGATATAAATAATTAATTTATCCATAGCTACATTAGCTATTGTAATATTGCTTAGGCAAGTAATTACCCTTCAGCATTGAAAAATATATATATTAAACAAAAACAAGCCAGTAGAGTTATATTTCATGTGCATAAATACGCCCACTCCAAGCCGTTACTCCGGGAAATTAAAGCTCTTAATGTCTATGAGTTAAACGTGTTCAAAAACTTGTTATTCATGTTTAAATATCAAAACAACATGCTTCCAAAATCCTTTAATAACCGATTTGTAAAAATTAATCATAAATACCTAACAAGGTACTTTACCTATAATTTTAATTTACCTAAGTCAACTCTTAAAACATCTGACTACTCAATTTCATATAGAGACCCTCGCCTGTGGAACATAGTTCTTAAATGAAAATATGAAAAGTATAACGTTTTAAAAATATAGTTAAACAGTATTTACTTAAATTAACAGACGCAAACATATTTTTGCATTTTTAAGTAAAAAAAAAAATGTAATATTTCTTAATATATCTAATCATTTATCTTTTGCAATTTATGGTATTCTTGTTGTAATAATGTGTTAACTTGTTTTTTTATATAACGAGTATTTGTAAATTTATATAATGAAAAATTTGCTAAAAGTACTTTACGCTTACTATAGGGGCTTGATGACAAGACTTCTACTTGCTCCTGTCGTTATTAATTTTTTTATTTAAATTTTATTGATGAAAATTGTAAAACAAGAAAGTTGTAAAATGTTTATAAAAGATGAATTATATATAATTGAAAAAAAAATTATTCTGGCTTTCATATTGAAACTTTTTTTTATTTGAATTTGATTTATTTAAAGTTGTGAATATTTGTAATTGTAAACTTTTTTTGCTTGGTGTATTTTTGGTAACTACCAAAAGAAAAAAAGAAAGCAAGAAATGTCGCGCAGTAATCAATTATTGAATTTTCCGATTATTGGCCAAAAGTTATTTGAATAAATTTTATGCCTCGTGTCGATACTTATGCCTCGTGTCGCGACCACATATTGACTTCTTAAATCTCTAAGTAATCTATCTTTAATGGTCTATTTTTTTAATATTGGGATATAGTCTTTCAACTCCACTTATTATTTTTATTATAAGCTGCTTCAGAGATACCTTATTAGGAAATTTAATTTTCTCATCTTCCGCAGTCCCAGTCAGTATGATAAATTTGCGTAGTGCCAACCTACCAAACAGGCTGGTTATAAATATACATATACACATATGTATGTAATCTCAAGGGGAGGTGAAGTTTATTAAGTTTTGAAAAAAAAAAGCAGCATGTCAGAGAAAACATAAAAATATGTTAAAGTTGAAACAAAATGAGCAAAGAATTTGGACTTTGGATGGTAAGAATACTACATGAAATATAAAATATAAAACTTGACTAAAATTTCCAATCCATAAATCTTTTTTAAAAAGCTCTCTCTATGTGATAATTTTATTGTTGACGTTTACTTAAAAACAGGAAGTA